GCTACTCCTGTCGGCCGGTTTCTGGTTTACCAGGCTTGGGGCTACTCCTGTCGGCCGGTTCTGGTTTACCAGGCTTGGGGCTACTCCTGTCGGCCGGTTCTGGTTTACCAGGCTCGGGGCTACTCCTGTCGGCCGGTTCTGGTTTACCAGGCTTGGGGCTACTCCTGTCGGCCGGTTCTGGTTTACCAGGCTTGGGGCTACTCCTGTCGATCTCGTCTGGTTTACCAGGCTTGGGGCTACTCCTGTCGGCCGGTTCTGGTTTACCAGGCTTGGGGCTACTCCTGTCGATCTCGTCTGGTTTACCAGGCTTGGGGCTACTCCTGTCGATCTCGTCTGGTTTACCAGGCTTGGGGCTACTCCTGTCGGCCGGTTCTGGTTTACCAGGCTCGGGGCTACTCCTGTCGGCCGGTTCTGGTTTACCAGGCTCGGGGCTACTCCTGTCGGCCGGTTCTGGTTTACCAGGCTCGGGGCTACTCCTGTCGGCCGGTTCTGGTTTACCAGGCTCGGGGCTACTCCTGTCGGCCGGTTCTGGTTTACCAGGCTTGGGGCTACTCCTGTCGGCCGGTTCTGGTTTACCAGGCTCGGGGCTACTCCTGTCGGCCGGTTCTGGTTTACCAGGCTTGGGGCTACTCCTGTCGGCCGGTTCTGGTTTACCCGGCTTGGGGCTACTCCTGTCGGCCGGTTCTGGTTTACCAGGCTTGGGGCTACTCCTGTCGGCCGGTTCTGGTTTACCAGGCTTGGGGCTACTCCTGTCGGCCGGTTCTGGTTCACCCGGCTTGGGGCTACTCCTGTCGGCCGGTTCTGGTTTACCAGGCTCGGGGCTACTCCTGTCGGCCGGTTCTGGTTTACCAGGCTCGGGGCTACTCCTGTCGGCCGGTTCTGGTTTACCAGGCTCGGGGCTACTCCTGTCGGCCGGTTCTGGTTTACCAGGCTTGGGGCTACTCCTGTCGGCCGGTTCTGGTTTACCCGGCTTGGGGCTACTCCTGTCGGCCGGTTCTGGTTTACCCGGCTTGGGGCTACTCCTGTCGGCCGGTTCTGGTTTACCCGGCTTGGGGCTACTCCTGTCGGCCGGTTCTGGTTTACCGGCTTGGGGCTACTCCTGTCGGCCGGTTCTGGTTTACCCGGCTTGGGGCTACTCCTGTCGGCCGGTTCTGGTTTACCCGGCTTGGGGCTACTCCTGTCGGTCGGTTCTGGTTTACCCGGCTTGGGGCTACTCCTGTCGGCCGGTTCTGGTTTACCAGGATTAGGGCTACTCCTGTCGGCCGGTTCTGGTTTACCAGGCTTGGGGCTACTTCTGTCGGCCGGTTCTGGTTTACCCGGCTTGGGGCTAGTCTTGTCGGCCGCGTCTGGTTTACCAGGCGGCTTAGGTTTAGTCTCAATCTGGGGGTCGGTAACCTGCCGTGTGCACCTGACAAAAAAAAAAAAAAAAACATAAATAAATAAATAAATAAATAAGTAAAATTATGGAACAAATTCCCAAATGTCAACGACAGGAATGCACACGCACTTTTTGTGAGTTCGTCAAAATATTTTTTTTCTTCGATATTTTTGTTCGATATTCTCCCGAAAAGTCAGTATTCGTCCTTTCTCTGACGTGGTTGGCGAGTCAATAGGTGAGGAAGAAAAGTGCTGAAATTACGGAATGTCTGTCTAATTGGGAAAAAAAAAGGGGGGGGGGGGGCGGGGGTTCAGATTTTTAGCGAGTAACAGCACGCAAACACAATTTTAGTGCATGAGGTAGACACTTTGTGGTTACCACTGGTATTTTTGTTTATGCTAGAAAAAAAATGTCACGCTCACAAATGTCACTCTCACAAATGTCATGCTCACAAATGTCACGCTCACAAATGTCATGCTTACAAATCTCATGCTCACAAATGTCACGCTTACAAATCTCATGCTCACAAGCAACACAAATGAAGCTTAAATAAAGGCAACTGTAATTCAGGACATAGTAACATAACCATGTACAATAGCATTAGATATGCAAGAATGTGTAACTGTGAAAGACGTTCAACCCGCCAGCACCGCGCAACGAGCGATAAATACCCGGTGACACAAAGCACCCTATTCGGATGAGAATCGCTCGGCTAAGAAACCCAGAAACCCTGTTCAACTGTTGGCTGATATTAGGGACGCTTACTAAAGCCGGGGTTGTGCTTTAAACAAAAAAAACACACAGACACACAAATTGCTTTTTACACTAGGGACAGTCTGGCTTTATGTGTAACTGTAAAATGGCTTTATTTGTAACAAGGGCGTACAGTGCAATAGTATTTTTCATTACAATTATAAACAACCTGTATTAGTAACATTTGGAGAATTAGGGATTCTGAACACTAGAAAACTGAGTTAATGATAAATTAAAGAATCATATAACAGTAACATTAGGTAGTAACATATTCAAAAGTTGAAGATAGAGACAGATGGCGGGTTTTGTGTGTTGGTGCTTACATCCATACACCTCCACGACCTCAACAGGTCAAGGGTTATATTATGTTATAGTAAAATAAAAGTGTTCCTACTGGGAGGGACCGAAGAGGACATACAGTCACGTCTGAACAAAGCTAGAGCTGCTTTTGGAAGGATGAAGCAAATCTGGAAATCCAACAATTACTTCAGAGGAACAAAACTCTGACTCTACAAGAGCGTCATTTGGACAGTTCTTCTTTATGGAGCGGAATGCCGGAGAATGACCAAAAAGGATACACACAAGCTGTTTACCTTCCACCACACATGTCTACGTAGAATTATCAAAATTTTCTGGCCAGATACAATCTCAAACACTAAACTACTTCAAGTCACAAACCAAGAAACTTTAGACAGAGAAGATGGAAATGGCTTGGCCACGTTATGAGAATGAATCCTGATATACCTGCCAAAACAGCTCTCACATGGACACCAGAGGGAAAAAGAAAACAAGGGCGCCCAAAAACAACATGGAGACAAACGATGGAAAGTGACTTGAGTGTGGCATCTTTGACATGGAAAACTGCACTGAAGATTGCGCAGGACAGGAAACCATGGAAAGTCCTCTCTAAAGCCTCATGTGCCACTAGGCATAACGAGAACTGATGATGATGATGAAGGCATGGAGGAGAGGGGGGGGGGGGGCAGCCAGCATATTGAAGTTTCTGAGCCCCAGGTCTGACAATGTGATCATTGTCAATGGAACACATCGCAAAATTAGAATTGTGTAAATTAGGCAATATAAAGTAAAGGCATCTCTTCACGCCTTCAGGGGTGTTGGGCATTTAGGGCTAGACCTATTTATATATATATATATACATACATTTCATAGAAAAATCAGTACATGCTGGTTGATGTGGTCAACATCACGCCGGTCGCCTTTACTTCAAAGGACTTTAGTTGTTATTAATTTAAAGTTGAGCAGAATCAGAAGTTTAACACATGACTTCATGTCAACTCCAGCCCAGGTGATGTGGTTATATACAATGATCGCTCTGTCGACAGGCAGACAAGTGCAAGGTGGCTCATAGCAAAATGAATGGAGTCGGTTAGTGCTAGAAAACCTGGCATATTATGCCGCATCTAGTTTGAAAATGGAGGAGGGTGCGGTCACTGCAGCCTTCTGATGCATTAAAAATCAGCTGTACATACATGTCGTAACTGTAATTGACTCACAGAGCAGGTTGCCAAAGGTGGAGACCGGTAAGCTCTATGAAGAGTGGCAAGCATCGTTCAGAGGTCCCATGCAGACTGACTGTTTCTGCTCAATTTGGTCAAGAACTGATGCTTGACAAGCTAGATGTTATAATGGCCTTTTAGGGAGGAGTGAACAGTGAGGATGCACAAATAGATCGTCACAATCTGAGGAGGATGGGGCTGCCAAATAGATCGTCACAATCTGAGGAGGATGGGGCTGCCAAATAGATCGTCACAATCTGAGGAGGATGGGGTTGCCAAATAGATCGTCACAATCTGAGGAGGATGGGGCTGCCAAATAGATCGTCACAATCTGAGGAGGATGGGGCTGCCAAATAGATCGTCACAATCTGAGGAGGATGGGGCTGCCAAATAGATCGTCACAATCTGAGGAGGATGGGGCTGCCAAATAGATCGTCACAATCTGAGGAGGATGGGGCTGCCAAATAGATCGTCACGATCTGAGGAGGATGGGGCTGCCAAATAGATCGTCACAATCTGAGGAGGATGGGACTGCCAAATATGTCGTCACAATCTGAGGAGGATGGGGCTACCAAATAGATCGTCACAATCTGGGCGACCAGGGGATAGGCAGGCAGCTCAGCATTCAAGGTAAAGGTGAAACGGACACACAATTAGACTACTGAAGCTATCAAACTGGAACTCTGCGCTTGAAGATGAGGACGCAGAGCTAATAGGAAAGTGCTGTGATGTCGATTCTTATTCAACATTTGCCTTTTTTGTTTGTGTGTAACGAAGCTTCATTCTGGAGAACACTGCTTATATACCCGCTGTCTTTACAAGCATACCGTAATAGGCTACTTGTTACGGGTGTTTCTTTGCAAACTGGAGTGCATCTGCCTGAAAATAAAGCAACCAACAGTCTGCTTACAAATAAGCCAGATAAGTAAAACGAATGTGCATGTGGAACTCAAGTTCTGGATCACGGCCAAAGTCCAGGAGTAGACGTACAACCAGAACCTTCACCGGAGTTTACAGCCGGCAAACGCTAAGAAGAAAGAGAGAGAAAAGAAGAAGAATAAGAAGAAGAATAAGAAGAAGAAGAAAAAGAAGAAGAAGAAGAAGAAGAAGAAGAAGAAGAAGAAGAAGAAGAAGAAGAAGAAGAAGAAGAAGAAGAAGAAGAAAAGAAGAAGAAGAAAGAAGAAGAAGAAGAAGAAGAAGAAGAAGAAGAAGAAGAAGAAGAAGAAGAAGAAGAAGAAGAAGAAGAAGAAGAAGAAGCATGCAACATCAACCTGTTTTGACTGCCTACTGCCTATAAGTATTGTATATATCCTCCGTGATTTGTCTCAAGAGAATTCGAGCAATGAATTTACCTTGCATTATCTTGTACTGATATTTCGTCTTTTTCGACATCAGTTAAATCATAGAGCGAAGGTGTTCCATTGGGACTTTTGCTACAGGCCCCGCAGTACGTATTCTTATATTGAGCAGACACAATGACCTGTGGAGAAAGAAAACACAGTGTCATTGTCTGACACAGACTTGAATAGACACAAACAATATAACGTTTCGCATTAGTATCATTTATCAGATCCTTTACAGAGCGTTCCTCTTATCAGAGCATATCCGAAAGATACCCGCGCCAGCTCACCCACCTCGCCCACTTTTACTACCCAATGTGTTGCTTATGTCTTGTGCCCTTATTAACAGGTGGCCTGCCCTTCGCTACTTTTCCAGTCCAGCCCTTTGATATGGCCAACGTATTTCTTTTTACGAGATGAGATGCTATTTACGAGCCACATTATCTTGATGTCTGGATCTTTCCAGGATGCCAAAATTGGTTTTATTCTTGCTCTATGGTAATCTAAAAATCACATATATACGTGATTAACGTAACACACATGTGTGCTCCATGTTTATATTTATGTTTATTCAACGAATCAACATCATGGCACACGGATGTAAGCGATAAGCGCTCCGTTCTTCTTCTAACTCAAACCTGAGTCTGAAGCCAAGATTGCTATCACTGAGCCAGTATATTAATCTTTCCGCCCTTTTTATGATGCAATTTTTCGTTTTTTGAAGCCCTACTCTGGCTCATGCCAGGGGCCGCAATATAGCCTAATGGTTAAACGCGGTTTCTGGGACCTCTCCACGGTGATCCTCATCCACATAGTAGCACATTTTGTCATCGGGTGTTTATCGCTTGTGTGATGTCATGGTTGGGTAAAAAGTCGGTAAGTCACTGAGCCACTAGATTTGATTTCACTTCGTATAATATGTTTTAACATATTATATACTCATCTGACTGTAACTATCCGATCCTTCCTTGTGGTTGTTGTCGTCGTTGTTGTTGTTGTCGTTGTTGTTGTTGTTGTTGTTGTTGTTGTTGTTGCGGCTACTGCTTTGCATTGTCTGATTATCTTTCACAAACAGAAAGCAATTGTAAATTTTAAAAGAAAAATCCATTTACATTAACTAATTCATCGTGTAGGTTCCAGGGCCCCAGTGTGGGGAAAACAAGAATAGACCCACTGCCTACCCATAAGCATGTCGTAATAGTCCATTATTTGGGAGCTTTATTTGAAGTCAGAGTGCATCTTCCTGAGAGGCAAGAAACAAACAGTCTGCATGCAAGGAATCAGATCTGTGAAACGGATGTGCAAGCAACAATCAGTTTTAGGAACAGGACTAGAGAACAGAAATGGACGAACAAATAGAATCGTCTGCTGGAGTTGACAGCTGGTAAATGTGAAGAAGAAGACATTAACTAATCGTGTCTTAAATCATCAACGAATAAATGTTACCCTGCTTAATTGTTCATCTGATCATGTCTTAAACATCAATAAACAGATGTTTCCCTGCTTGATTGTTCATCTGGTCGTGTCTAAATCATCAGGGAATAAATTTTACCCTGCTTAATTGTTCATCTGATCATGTCTTAAACATCAATAAACAGATGTTTCCCTGCTTGATTGTTCATCTGGTCGTGTCTAAATCATCAGGGAATAAATGTTACCATGCTTAATTGTTTATCTGTTCATGTCCTAATCATCAATGAATAAATTTTACCCTGAAAAATTGTTCATCTGATCATGTCTTATCAGTGAATAAATTTTACCCTGCTCAATTGTTCATCTGATCATGTCTTAATCATCAATGAATAAATTTTACTGTGTTTAATTGTTCATCTGATCATGTCCTAACCATCAATGAATAAATGTTACCCTGCCTAACTGTTCATCTGATCATGTTTTAATCAGTAAAAAACTGTTACACTGCTTTATTAATCATCAGATCTTTGTCTGAAATCATTACAGAATTTGAACTTAGTTTATGTGACTTGCAGACATATAATTTCGTCACAGCTTCATAACTGACCTTCACAATAAACTTATTGCCAACGAAGGTGACTTCTACGCTGAAGTAGTTGTGCTTGTTGTGTATGGATACAGTGTTCGCCTGAACTGATCTGGTCAGTATTTCTGCGTCTGGGATCTGAGAACCTACAGTGGTTTCTGCCAGGGCAGCTCCATTTTTACCAGCCTGCAGATGAAATAGTTGTTACATTTCTACAAGCTTGTACCTAATATAAATGTTACATTTGTACAAGCCTGTACATTATATAATGTTACATTTGTACAAGCCTGTATATTATATAAATGTTACATTTGTACAAGCCTGTACATTATATAAATGTTACATTTGTACAAGCCTGTACATTAAATAATGTTACATTTGTACAAGCATGTACATTATATAAATGTTACATTTGTACAAACCTGTACATTATATAAATGTTACATTTGTACAAGCCTGTACATTATATAAATGTTACATTTGTACAAGCCTGTACATTATATAAATGTTACATTTGTACAAGCCTTTACATTATATAATGTTACATTTGAACAAGTCTGTACATTATATAAATGTTACATTTGTACAAGCCTGTACATTATTTTTTGTTACATGTGTACATATAATGTTACATTTGTACAAGCCTGTGCACTATATAATGTTACATTTGTACAAGCTTGTACATTATATAAATGTTATATTTGTACAAGCCTGTGCATTATATAATGTTACATTTGTACAAGCCTGTACCTTACATAAATGTTTCATTTGTACAAGCCTGTACCTGATATAGTTGATGTATTTGTACAAGTCTGTACTTGATATAGTTGTTGCATTCGTTTTTATGAGACATTTTAGTGTGCTGAGACATTGCTAGTATGTGAGATATCCCTGTGTTGTGAGCCACTGCTAGGGTGTAAGATATCCCTGTGTTGTGAGCCACTGCCAGGTTGTAAGATATCCCTGTGTTGTGAGCTACTGCTAGGGTGTAAGATATCCCTGTGTTGTGAGCTACTGCTAGGGTGTAAGATATCCCTGTGTTGTGAGCCACTGCCAGGTTGTAAGATATCCCTGTGTTGTGAGCTACTGCTAGGGTGTAAGATATCCCTGTGTTGTGAGCTACTGCTAGGGTGTAAGATATCCCTGTGTTGTGAGCTACTGCAAAGGTTGTAAGATATCCCTATGTTGTGAGCCTCTGCCAGGGTGTAAGATATCCCTGTGCTGTGAGCCACTGCCAGGGTGTAAGATATCCCTGTGTTGTGAGCCACTGCCAGGGTGTGAGATGTAAGATATCCCTGTGCTGTGAGCTACTGCCAGGGTGTGAGATATCCCTGTTATGTGAGCTACTGCCAGGGTAAAAGATATCCCTGAGTTGTGAGCTACTGCTAGGGTGTGAGATATCCCTGTGTTGTGAGCTACTGCCAGGGTGTGAGATGTGAGATATCCCTGTGCTGTGAGCCACTGCCAGGGTGTGAGATTTAAGATATCCCTGTGTTGTGAGCCACTGCCAGGGTGTGAGATGTGAGATATCCCTGTGCTGTGAGCCACTGCCAGGGTGTGAGATGTAAGATATCCCTGTGCTGTGAGCCACTGCCAGGGTGTGAGATGTAAGATAGCCCTGTGCTGTGAGCCACTGCCAGGGTGTGAGATGTGAGATATCACTGTGCTGTGAGCCACTGCCAGGGTGTGAGATGTGAGATATCCCTGTGCTGTGAGCCACTGCCAGGGTGTGAGATGTAAGATATCCCTGTGCTGTGAGCCATTGCCAGGGTGTGAGATGTAAGATATCCCTGTGCTGTGAGCCGCTGCCAGGGTGTAAGATATCCCTGTGCTGTGAGCCACTGCCAGGGTGTAAGATATCCCTGTGCTGTGAGCCACTGCCAGGGTGTGTGATATCCCTGTGCTGTGAGCCACTGCCAGGGTGTGTGATATCCCTGTGTGATAATGCACTCCTAAGACATTACCTCGTAGCACAGTGAATTGACAATGGCTACATCCGAACAACCAGTATGGTTACTGCAAAGTAGGAAGGCAAAGGCAAACTGTGTTTTTCAATATGCCTATATCAGTCATGATTTTTACAAGTTACTAAACGGGAAGCCCGTGCACTACATTCATACACGGGAGCCGTGGATGTGTAGCCGCTAGATGCTCGACACCGGCACCGAAGTGATGGGTTAAAATCCCCTCTGAGGAAGTAAAGTACTGGAAAGTAAAGGCGGTCGGCGTGATTTTGCCCACATCCCCTACCGAGTGCAGAATGGTCTATACAAATAAAGATCTAGCCCCATGCACCCAGTACGCTATACGCTGCGAAAAAGGGTCAACAGACACCTGGCAGAGCTGAAATCATCGATTTGACTGGTGGTTTGCAGTGACTAACACGACTACGAGCTAAGATGATTACGTGACCAGGAAGTAAACCCAGGTAAGTCTGTCTAAACTGTCTTCAGTGTCAACACAAGAAACATGATAACCAATTTCTTATAGGAAGCAGCAAAGGTACGTTGGAGGATGGGTTGATGGAAGGTGGCTGCTGTATCAGGGGACTAAACACCCATGGGAATGCCCAGTGTGCAATTAATTAAGTAGATTGTGATAACCTATCAAAAGACATACCTGATTATGCCTAGTTACAAACCAGTGTCCCAGACAATACATTAGTCATCGTCATCCTGTGTGTGTGGGCCGTTAGCTGTCACTTAGGGCTCGCATTTGATTCCTCTACTCCGCTCTGTTGCATGCAACTCTCCCAGCCCGGCGTTTTTAGCTTCTGGTAAAAATGTGCTTAGTAAGTTTTTTTCTTGGACGAAGTGTTCCCTTGGACGCCTTCTTTTCTCATTTTATTGCTTGTTTTGTCAATATTGGCTCATTTCATCTCAAAGTGTGCCCAACATATCGCTATATTCTTTGTCTTGTTGCAGTCGATACAGGTATTTGTGCAGACACTTCTCTGATCTCCTCACTGTTTTAAAATTCACTCAATCTTTCGTTCATAATTTGACTTTTGTTTCATATCTTTGGCAGTTCTCCAACTTTCGCTGGTTTATGTTGAAATCGAAATAACAATAGAAATGAAGATTCGTAGTGTGGTCTTAAACCTTGGAAAACAATAAATTACAACGGATAATCTTACCCAAATTATGCCGTTACTGAGACCTTTTTGTGAAATACGGAAGCTGATTTTTGTATTCCCGGGTTGAACAACGTATCCACTGAGAGTCACAATGTTTTCACCGTCGGCGGAGCTTTTCAAGACGTAGAGATAGAGCAACGGAATGTAAGCAGAAGTCAGGTCTGTGAAAGAGCACAAGGCAAATATATCATTCTCATCGAACAAGATAAATCAAAGCAATGCTTCCCAGTTCTACATCTGATTTCATTTGGAATGCTTTTCGACTGTGCCCAGCGTGGTTTGTGTTGTGAAATGTGGATTCAGATGTGATAGTTCGCATGTACAACTACATATCTGCTGTTACTCTATTTCCACCGATGATGAACTGCATTTATAGTGTCCGATTGTTTGTGTTGGTACTTCTAACGGCTGCATTATGCATTTAGTTCGTGGTGTGTTATTGGGTTTACCGAGACTACAATCTGTGTAAAAATTATCACAAGGGACAGCGATGTTTTGCGTTGGTACAAGAATGGAGCCACCATGGGATGGTCCGTTTGATATGAAGTTGGACCTAAGAAAACATTTGAACCAAAAAGACACACACAATAGATTGCACACACTATTGCCTTGTATATTTCGCTGTATCATGCCAAATGTATATCACAGACTGGCAGAGTGCTAAAACTTCTTGAAGCCGCCATCATTGTTTATCTCTGTCCAGAACTTTGTAAACAAACAGACATGATAGAGAGCCTGTGTTTGCTCCGGTAAACCAAACAGTGCTGTTTGAGAGTGGCCGAAATTGTACTTCAGTTGTAAAGGATTCGCTTCTTTGCTTCACATTGTTTGTTACTGTAGTTTGCACCTGACGCGATACAGCGACATCTGCCAGGCAATACATTGTGCAATCTTTTATTTATGTTTTCTTGATTCGAAAAAAGCAAAATTAATTCGTTAGGTTTGAGGTTTTGAGGTTCTGAACAACGGATCAACATCTGGGCCACGGGTAGTAACCCATAAGTGCTCCGTTCTTCGTCTAACTGAGTATCCGAAGAAGCTCATTACTGTGCACAGGCTCTGTAGCCCCGGCGAATATCCAGAAGTACTTTGGGTAGATTTTTAACTTCAAATTTTACCCGGGCTGCGCCGTTAGGCTACTCTTTTTAATTTCCAACTGCCAAAGGATTTTTACGTAGGCAACAATGCACACAGACGTCCGATCTCACTACCCATAGACCAGGGGGAATTACTAGAAGTCTAATTCTACGCGAACAAACCCCAGCCCTTACCTCTAGCACTCGAGGCAGACACCATGCCTCGAGACCACGCAGTCCCTCGTTCGGTTGGAGATGCAATATCTATATCACAAATAATTACAAATGAATACAATAATTAAACTGTCCTAATTGTGTTATACTTACAGGCAACCGAACCAGGACATGGAGCCACCAGTTTGAAAGTGCAGTCGTAGGGAAAGAAACCTGTTGTAGCCCCGAAGTTGGTAAGATCGTAGCTGTACCCATCTTTTTCTTGGGTTCCATGCATACTACAGGTAAGAGCCTCTGAAAACAAGATGAGAAAAAGGTAGAGGCAAAGGTGAGAGGATCGACTTCATTGCACCGGGTTTCGTTTTATGTACCTCGGCATCTCTCCGCAAAACATCTAGCTTCCTGTCAAAAGCGTTGCACAGAGCACGACATCCGTAGCTCCGGTGACGATCACCAGGGATCTCCTTAAAAAATTGCCCTCATGAAATGAGTGGCGCCGCCGTGACACGAACACACGACCTTCATAGCGCGAGGCAAACAGCTTGACTACTACGCTACGGAGATCCCCTCTTTGAAAACAAGATGAGAACATCAATATCGTTGAATTTTTTACAAGGAGATTCTGAGAAGATTCTAAACAGCACATGTACACGTCTGACACAAAGTATATCCACCTTCCTTTCTATTCTACCAATGGCAGACATGGCCACCGAAGACAAACCTTAAAAGAAAACGATGCTTCATTAATATCCTACCTCCAGATGACGTTACAGGACAGTCCAGCATTTTAGAGGGTTGTAAGACTGGGTTTCCCGGCTTTCTGATGCCTTTAACAACCCAAAAACATCTAGAACTGGCCCTAACCCTAACCCACCTACGTCCCACGAGAGAGTGCAGCCTAGGGTCCCACGACTGCAGGCAGCCTAGGTCCCATGACTGCATGCAGCCTATCTACCCATCCGTGAAATATTAGACTGTCCCATGACCTGTGGATTTCCCCTGTTTGGGGTAGTATACTATTACAGCAACAAGAAAATTAGTAAACACAGAAATAAGATGTCGGAGAAGGGGTGCAGGAGTCATCAGAAGAGATAAAAATCAGAAAATAGGTTAAATAGAGAAAAAAATATTCGGCTAAGAACCAGTTCTAAATAACCTACAAAGACAACACATCAAATGGTTTGCCTACATAAATAGAATATCCTTGTGGCGCCATACAATCTAAGACACATAACAAACGAGTGGAATAACTTCCTGCTCGAGGTAGACCAAGACAACGATGGAAAGATAACATCAAAGAAACTCTACAACATCTCGAGTGTCTATTGTCCAGGTAGCTAGCCGAACAAGAAGCAGAACCGTCTATGTTCCTCGATACCTGAGGCGGCAAACAAGGATGTCAAGAAGATGAGGATACAGGAGTATGATAGTTACTGATTACAGTGTTTAGAATCGACATCGCAGCATACCGGACATACCTACAGACGCTCCGTCTCTCCAGCAAATTTCTACACCTTCCTACCCGCACTGTCAGTGCTGTGTACATTCGACTGGGGTGTCCGGTACGGGTGTCCTAATTACAACTTCTCTGGCGGTTAAACGGGGTATCGGAGATTTTCCCTGTAGGATTGCCGTCCAGGCTGAGATTGTAAGGTCAGTGCGGTCAAACTGTCAGGTGGCTGTCCGGTAGGGATGAGAGGACTGACGGACGGACGCCTCCTCTTCATGGGTCTGCCCGGTATCGCAATGACCTTTTCTCCCAGGTCGATCCAGCCTTAAACGGTACCACGTGACGTCTTGGGAAGTAAAGGCGGCTGACGTGGAGTTGACCATATCAACCATCAAATACCGATTGGTCTGTAAAATATAGGTCTGGGCCTGAATGCTCAAGATGCCTGGAGGTGTGCAAAAGGTTCTTTACTGTGTGAAGCGTACGGATGGACCAGCAAACATCTGGAGGCGTGCAAAAGGGTCTTTACTGTGTGAAGCGTACGGATGGACCAGCAAACATCTGGAGGGATAGATGCTTGGAGTCCCACAAGAGAAGAATATATCATGCACATTTGACATGAACGAACTTTATTTTCAAAGGGTCACAAATTGGGCACGCAGGCCCGTCTTACATTCGGCCCTTCCAGTCAACCATCTTTCGCACAGCAGTTGTATTTTACTAATAAAGCCTGTTATGATCATATGATGATATGCATATTATGAATATTATAAAAGAACACAAAAGCATGAGTTGTAAAGTGCATGCAAAAACCCGCGCGTGAATATACACACACACCCATATACATACATACACACACGCTCACCCACTCACTTACACACACATATACATGCATGCATGCATACATTACATACAGGCATACATACAGGCATACATACAGGCATACATACAGGCATACATACAGGCATACATACAGGCATACATGCAGGCAAACATACAGGCATACATACAAACACACATACATGCAAACATACATACAGGCATACACACATACATACAGGCATACATTGGATGTTCTAAGATATATATCCCTTTATTTCTTTATGGGCGTTTAATCAAGCGAATAAAACCTAATACTTTGCAGGTTGATTAAACATGTAAAAGGACCTTTTCCCATGCCTTCATGCATACCAGGGAATTTAGCTCTAGACCCGTTTTTTATAGACCAATCGACACTCGGACAGATTGCGGGATTGACCAGAAGCGGCAGTGACATGGTACAACCAAATAGCGACTTAACCCACCAAGAGATGAAAACACTAATACAAGCTAGTATCCAAGAAAGGTGGCTGGATACCCACACCAGATTTTCTCCCCAAGACTCACTTCATCGCCTCTCTAGAGAGGGACAGTGTATTATATTCAGACTAAGGACAGGGCACAACAGATTTCGTCAACATATGTTCAAATTCTTCAGTGTAGGAAATACGCAGACGTGTCCCTGCAGCGTGGCACCCGAAAATGCTGAGCATGTGCTCCAACACTGTCAACTGTATGCTGACAACAGAGACGCAATCTGGCCTGTTCCAACCATACTGAAGACAAAACTGTATGGTACACAAGAGGATATGGATTGCACGATAGCTTTCATAAAGGCTACCGGCCTCGTGGTGTAAGTTTTCTGACAGAAGGATCGAAGAAGAAGAAGAAGAAGAAGACACTCGGTGGGTGAAAAGGTCAAAATAACACCAGCACCAATTACTTCCAAGGAATTTACCTAGTACTCACTAAAAGCTGGTTTGACCTGGGCGCAAAAGACATTAACCGCCCCGCTAGTACACGAACCCATAACCTTCGAATCCGTTAAAGATAGATGTTGAATCCCGCGAATATTTTGGTGGAACAAAGTAAAAACGTGAAGGACACTTTCCTACACCTTTCAGGCGTACTGGGTATATAGGGCTAGATCTATATTTTATAGACCAAACGGAACTTAGTGGGTGATGTGGTAGGCGTCCCTCTAGCCGCCTTTACTTCCCAGGATTGCACCTGGTACCCACTCAAGGCTGGGTCGACCTCGGAGCCAGGGTCATTAAAAAAAAGTCCGGCCCGCTTCAGGAACCGAACCCACGACCTTCCAATCCGCAGGCGAGCGTCTAGTGAAGTCGCTAGACCAAGGCGGCTTCCTTGATCAGAAAAAATTCAAGGGAAAAAAAACGAAAAAAAAAAAAAAAAAAAACCAGGAGAGAAATGTTCATCATTGGCAATTGTTTTTAGAGGAAGAAGAATGAGATGTCTTGTGCATGACTGCAGAATGCCTCTTGGTAATTTGACAAAGAAAGCTTTTTGATGGACGGCAGATTAAAAAGAGGCGTGAAAGAAAAAGAAGAAGAAGAAGAAGAAGAAGAAGAAGAAGAAGAAGAAGAAGAAGAAGAAGAAGAAGAAGAAGAAGAAGAAGAAGAAGAAGAGCAATGAGGCGAAGAAGAAACAATGAGACACACAAACAAATCATCGATGTAACTTACCTGTGCACTGTCCATTAATATAAAGTGGCCTGATTTTGCTGCATACACACAGGTAACTGCCATGTGTATTGACGCACAGTGAATCCGTGGGACAGTTATGGCGACCAGTTTTACATTCATCCGCATCTAAGGAAGGAAAAAAGGCATTGCTTTGCTAAATTATAAGGTATACTGTAAGGTCATCGGTCTTCGTAACATAGGTGTTATAAGCATATTTTCATTATTCCAACATACTGTGTGAATAATCTGTTTGAACCTTCACTGATCACTGGCATCACTAGGGATAACAGACTGTATACAAAATAAAAGTTCATATCTCGTCATTCCTTATGGGATGCAATTTTTCATTATTTGAAGCCATACTCTGGCTCTTGCCAGTGGCCGCAATATAGCCCGGCCATAAATATGGTCTAATGGCTGAACGCTGTTTCTGGGACCTCTCCACGTGTGATCCTTATCCATATGATGACACTTTGTGTCATCGGGTGTTTATCGCTTGTTTTATGTCCTGGTGGGATAAAGAAATAAATAAATAGATAGACAGATGAATAGATACTCTACTGAAATGGCTTGAGCATATTGAGAGAATGTCAGATGACAGAGGGGCAAAAACTGTGTACAGAAGGGATTTGAATGTTCGTAGACCACAAGGCAGACCAAGAAGACGATGGGGAGGCACTATAAAGACAGACATACAAACACTAGGTGTCACCAACTGCAAACAGAAGACCGACCTGATAGATGACTTAAGGTGGGTGGTGATGGCAATGTTAAACCTCAAGGGTTATGAATGCTGAAGGAAAAGAAGAATTTGCTGCCTTCAGTGAGGAAAGAAAGCGAATTTTCAAGAGCTATGTAAAACATTAAAGGTCAGTTGCGTATCCTTTACAGGACGCTGCAGAACTAACCCCAATAGCCCCTGGCTGTTGTGTGGGTTTTCTAGGCAAATTTACGTCCAGTAGTTTTGCCATTGCCCTAAGGACGGTCGGCTTTCTTGATACCACTTTCGAAACCAACGCAAGGCGCATGGCCCGCAGCTGGGATCGAACCCGGCATCCCGCATTGCGAAGAGTTCGCATTGACTTAGCCACAGCGCCGACATTTAAAACATACGAAGGAAATATTGCGGTGATCCAATCATTTCATGTAAAAATTAGTTACGACTGCTCACAGCGCTAGTGATTAGTACGTTTTCACAAGGCTGTGAGATGTGGACTTTTTTCTTCTTTAACGCGATCAGCTGCTGTAACTTCTGTGGAAAGTTCTGGCTGTTCGTCCAGCTCCGGACTTTAGTCATATTACAAAACTTGAGTGTTTCGTACGCATCATTAATCAGACTTGTTTGTACTTGCTTCTAAGGCAGATGCACTCCGACTTCGAAAAATGCCAACCCCCTTCCTTAGTCGACTTCTACGACATGCTTGTTCTGGAGGTTTTAAAAAAAAAGGGGGGGGGGGGTCTATTCTTGTTCTTCCCCCCAATGGGGTCATGCAACCCACACGGGGAAAAGACTGACCATAACAGCTGAACTCGAGAAGAAGATACAAGCATTAGAAATGAGATCTTACAGCAAAAGTTCTGGTACATAATAAATGACGATGTTTGTCGTACAAATACCCAGCACACTGGCAACTATGAACCTCTTTTAACACATTGAAAAGGCAGAAAATGTAATGGTTAGGGCATGTAATTAGATCAAAAGGCCTCTCAGAAACAATACTACAGGTCTTAATACACAAGAACAGGAGAAGATTTAAGCCTTAGGCAGCGAGTTCAAGCCCTGGTGAAAGCTGGGACGTAAACTTCTAGAAATCACCTCAGGCCTCTGGGTAGTAAGATCGGACCTCGTGTGTATTGTTGCGCACGTAAAAAAATTTCTTGGCAGTTGGGAATCAAACAAGAGTAGCATAAAGGCGCTGCCTGGGCAAAATTTTGAGTTTAAAATCTACCTAAAATATTTCAGGATCTTCGCTGGTGCTACTGCTGTTTTCGTGCACTGCGCTAAGATTCTTTGGACTCAGGCATGAGTCAACAGTAGAACGGGGCATTTATGGGTTACTACCCTTGTGCCATGATGTTGATCCCTCGTCTAAAAGTAAAGCCAAACCAAGAAGTCCACTGCATCTGACCCTTAAAAGTAGAAGCAGCTGATAAGACAGCAAATGGCGACCCAACGACGCGCAGTCTTACCACAAGATAATGGTGACCGCATGAGTCCTATCATAATGTATGGAAGTAAATCATGGACAGTTGGACGATTAGAGGAAAATTATTTGGAAGCGGTAGCGATGCGATTTTATAGACGAATACAATACTTTGGACAGATTTAAAGAAAACTAAGAGAGTAATGATGCTGTCCCAAAGAAAAGCAGAGTGGTTAGTTAAAATATATGAAAGACGAAAGCAACAGAGGCTTTTACACCACTAGGAAAACGAAATAACTCAAAAGAAACGAATAGCAATATATTAGTGTCTAACTGATGCTGCTTTTGAACGGAAACGCCACTAAAATCCTTAGAACACTGTGGACTAAGAATAGGAAAAACGCTGATATCCTACATGATATGAGCATCGGGGATAATTGGCTCATAAACAGCATCTTGTCCCGAAAGATGAGGTACTGTGGCCATGTTAAACGTCACTGGCTCTGAAAGCACATAGGGCTGGGAAATTGGTTAGAGAAAGAGAGTCTCCCAGGCATGCCGTGACAAAAGCGACGTTCTGTAAAGGACCTGCTGATTGATAATGATGATGATGATGACATAAGTGACATGTGGAAGAAAAGCTAGCTTTGTTTACAGCTCAGTCACTTACCTCGTTCACATCTGACTGTGACATTCACCTCGGCACAGTTGCCACTGAGACATTCTCGTTTAGCTCCAAAGCTATCTTTTGAACAGCTCCAGGGTTCCAGTTCAGCAGATGCAGCGCTGCTATCAGCAGGTACACACTTCACTCCCAGTACTCTGCCACACTTAGTACACTCTGAGCTCTGTTGTGTTTCACACACGTCAATGCATGTGTTAGTCATCTTCAATGGTTATTGTTATAATATTTACATAGGTGAGGACATCATCATTATCATGTGCCCTGCCCACTGGCATAGGCGCTCATGCGTCTCCACAGATCCTGATCCGTGGTTGCATGGCTGTTTGGTGAACAGTCGTTAACGAAGGCAGTCAGGTCGTTGTAGGGACGACGACGGCTGGTGGATGTGATGTCCTATATCCCTTCCCAAGCTAAATGAGAGGGTACTGCTGGGGTGACCGTTTATTAACCACCCTCATATAATGCTTCAGGTCAAAATGGACGCTAGGCACGGCCACTTTTTTTTTTTGCCGTGGCAAATTTGCTTCAGCCAGGCGGTGGCCGTTGCATTTTTGCTCCATTTGTAGACTGGAAGGATATAGTTTCGTCGCCCAGCTTCTGAGTTGAGTGCATGGCGTGACACTGTGAGCTACGTGTGTTTTTCGTTGGCACAGGAGCGGAGCAACTATGGGGTGACCCATTTGCTATAAAGCTGAAACTAGGATTACCAGATTACCAGATTGCCCGGAACAGCTCTCTTTATGATATCCCTCCATGCCATCGTTTTAGCCCATCCAGCATCATCTCTCTAGGTCTGCCTCTACCTCTTTTTGCCACTGATATTTCCAGTTGTCACGATGTTCTTCGGTGTCTCTCTTCTCATTACGTGGCCAAAGAACAGTGTTTGTCTCTTTCTTATTGTTGTGTATAGAGATCAACTTTCATTAGCTTCTTTCAAACAATCGTTGTTAGTTGCTCTGGCTGTCCAAGGTATTCGTAACAATCGTCACAGAAACCACAGCTGTAGACACGCATAGGCATTTTCAATCGTTTTATTGTCCTGTCAAGTACAGAGGCAGACGCAATGGTGTAACTCCTAGACGGTCGACTATGGATCGAAAGGTCATGGGTTTGTGACCTGACGAAGCCGGACTTGTTTCAAAAGTGACCTTGACTCCCCTGTGGACCCTGCCTTATATGGGTTTCATGTAAAGTCCTAAAACGTAAAGGCGGCTGACGTCATGCTGACCGCATCACCCACCAAGTGCCGATTGCTTTATACAAATGGCGTGGAAAAAAAGTACCTTAATTTTTATTTATACACAAGTTAAAATGTGAATCAGTTATCTTTTATAGTTTCAACACTTACACAAGTAAAGACATGTATCAGTTATCTTTTATAGTTACAACACTTACACAAGCAAAGACATGTTTCAGTCATCTGTTATCGTTTCTACATTTAAATATTTAGTGTTAGTGTTATTTAGTTAGTGTGGGTGAGAGATTTGACCTACTGCCCTCATAACAAGCATAAATCAGCTATAAATTAGGGACTGCAAAAGTCGGGCAGCAGTACAGTGGAAAGTTTCCACTAACGTATATTTGTCAACGGAGTACTTACTGCAGCACAAACTGTGACTGGAAAACAATAGAGGGGGGGGGGGAGGGTGGGAGCATGGGGCCTCGATAATTATTATTACTAGACAATAGCAGAAGTACCGTAGTGTCTTAGCTCTCTAGCAATGCTGTAGTGTGCTGCTGACTACTGCTCTCTTGTCTCAAATATCACATCTGGTGTCTTATTATATTTACATTTTGGTCAGCGTATGCTAAATAAAACTGGC